ATCTTTCACTTATGTCATCTAGTATCTGTGGTATAAATATGAGAGCTAGCTGACGATCTATAAGAATTCTGTCCTTCGACGAAGATTGAAAATGCAATTTTTATTATTGAATAATAATGATCTTTTCAATATTAAAAGTTATTTTTATTGAAATTTGAGTGTACGCATTACATTTTCAAGTTTGTTTTGGCTGGGGCGATTGAAATACGTTAATGAAAACAAAAGGATATAATCCTTTTTTAACGTTTTGATGTATTGAGTTTGTTTGATCAATGGTACACCTGGCATTTTCAAGGTGAATGTATGTGTACCAAACATTTCTCCATTGATATTAACTTCATTACATTGATTAACAAAGTTAACATAATGTGCACTTTGCTCAAGCATTTTTTTTTGAATATTCAAATAATCACAAGCGGTTTTGACATTTGGTAATGCATTTATATTTAAAGCAACTCCCATTATGTTTGGATTGACTCTTCCATTGAATGTTCCAAGTGGATACTTAGAAAAACCAAAAAGAGGCATTATTAATTTCATAGAAGCATCGATCAATTCTTTTGTAGATTGATCTTCATTAGTTGAAATCATTGTGCCTATTGATTGAAACACTAGAAGCAATTGAGATTGATTTATTAAACTCCATCCTTTAGGTTTTTCCACTGATAGACCAAAGAACGCGTTTTTATAATGATTACCAGTGGTATTTTCCGTGATTGTTGACACAGAAGCTGTCAATAATAGAAAAAGAAATATTTAAATAAAATTCTAATTGATTCTAAAATTTTCTTTCTATACTATTTCAATTGATATTTAACAAGCAGAGAACTTCTTACTAAGAATCAATCATTTCGAAAATGTTAAGAAAGATTTTAAGAAAAAAAACACTTAAGAGGAATCTTTGGTTATGTTAAAAAAAGATCCGAATTTATTCCTTTTCCATCATCACGAAAATCTTAAGACGATAAAAAGGAATTCTGTTAGTCAACTTACGTATGACATTAGTAGTACTAAACTTCACTATGGAAACAAAGATGAAGAGCACAAAGTACATGGCAACCATCTTCTTCGATATGTTTGATCAAATAATGTTCGCGTTGTTGTCTTAAATAAGAACAAGCAAGCACGAATTTATTGATGACCTTTTCCAACTTAATTTAATATTGAGATACACAATAATCACTTTTTTATCTAATAAACTCTGGTGTATGTTGTTCCTACTCAAGTTTCGATTCTTATCATTTTAATATTTAGTTTAATATCTATTATCTTTTTTAATTAAATATTTTCTCTGCTCATATTTCATGAAGAAAAGCAATTTCGATTAGTATGAAGGCTTCTCTTTACATACAGGGTGTCCCAAAAGTAAGGTAACAAAGTTCTTTTTCGATTTTTTTTCTTATATATCGTCAGCTAACTCTAATATTAATACCACAATT